CGGCCCTCTCCTTCTTCTTGGTAGCGGCCTTCTTCTTCTCCAAACCTGAAACCGCCCTCAGAGGTGTCGGATCCAACGGCCTCGAGCTACTGGCCTCCCCGGAACCCCGAGGGGGGAGAACAGCAATCGTAACCTTCGAGCTCTCATTCTGTGCCTCATCCTCCACTGTCTGCCATGCGAGGGCTAAGTCTTCATCATCGCACTCCCGCTCGAAGCCCTCGGCTTCAACCTCCGCAATGAGTTCCTTCTGGACCTCCCGGGCCAGGGCTGCATCACCACCATCCGAGGGTTGACCACTGCTTGACTCCACGTCGGAGATGCCTTCGTCCTCCATCGAGGGCGTCCTCGAGATATCTTGAGAATCACTCTGGGACGACATTCTGACTCTAGTTCGAAGGCTCGTACAACTAGTGTTTTCTAAATGTTCTATCTCCTAGCCTAAGGGCGCAGTACAGGTAGCTAAGAGGTGAAGGGTAACTGGAGAACTGACCTTAAGAACAGAGGATTCAACCGGGGGCTGCTGTTTCTCTCTCTAGAAAAATTGGCAGAGCTTCGCTAACAAGTTTTTCGCACACGGAGGAATGCCTGGCCTTGAGGTATTTATAGGCGATGAATCCGGGCTTGGGCCTGGATTCCGGGCCTCCGGACGGACCGCCATCATTACACACCGCCGTTTCACCCAACCGGTGACGCCGCCCACGAACAGCCAGCCATCACACGCCACGTATGCCACCCCCCCAACGGCTATATCCTGTCGTTACATATTCCAACGGCTATATTTCCAACGGCTATATTCTGGAAGCCCCCGGGTTTTCTAGTTCACTCCACTTCATCAAGGATTGCCTCCGGGTGCACTCACCCAGAAGTGCCCCCGGGTTGTGCCCCACACAACACATTACACACGCCTTCGGGATCACTCCTTCAGATCCCTAGGGCTGCATATCAGGGCACCCCTCGGGGTTTCCCCCTCAGCACTACAAAACCGGGCAGCCCCCGGGGAGTGCCTCATTGACGGATGGCCCATGGCACACAGGTAATGGGAGCCCTCGGGTATCTTCATCACCAACTCATCAACAAACAGTGGACCCCCCGGTAACAACTTCACTGCTGCCCTCATCTGGCAGGCCCTCGATCCCTGGATTGAGAGGCTCCCCTTCGGCACCACCAGGACATCAACAGCAAGCCTTCGGCTAATCAACACAGGAGCCCTCAGAAGAGAGAGCCTTCGGCATTCCCGTCATTCTCCAATTTTCACCAAGGTTTGACATTTTCGATTCATCATTGGGGGAATTCGGTGCACTCTTTTTCCCTCATTAGGATTTTTTCCCAAAGGGTTTTTCCTAATGAGGTTTTTAACGAGGCATCCCCCCAAAATGAAACGAAAAGCGTCAGCCTTCGGCCCACAACGGCAACGTAACTACTTTACTCCTTTTCACCACTTTACAAGTGCCTCAAGGAGTGGGGGACTGGAGGACCCCTTCGGGAAAATCATTAAATTACAAAATCTGTGAAATTCCAACAAACAACAAAGCAAGCCCTCAAGTCCCGACATGTGGGTAACTGAGGGACTGCCTTCGGCAGGGACATAAAAGCAACAACTCCTCACCAACTTCAGGAATCACGATGGGACAACATCAAAGGGCAGGCACAAGTTACTCCTTTTCCCTCAAGTACCTTTCGGCAAAAGGAGTGAGGGACTCCTGATGGAGTATATGGCCCGGGAACCCCCGGCCCACAGACTTCTACTACTCCAGCAAAGGCCCAACAGGCCCAAAAGGCCCAACAGGCCCAAATCACAGCGCCCAGAGTACCAAGCAGTCCGCACAACGCACGGGGATGCCTTCGGCCCCCTGGCCGAAGGCTCCAAATTCTCACAGAGCAGGTTTCTCAAGCAAACTAAGAAACTGGGAGAAAACGGCGAAAACAGTAGCCCTCGACACTGGGAGCCCTCGGCACCAGGGTGCCATCGGGTGGAAGAGCCCCCGGCTACTGCTCTATAGCCGAAGGCATCTCACTCGACAAGATATCCGCCCCACATGCGTACAGATCAACGTACCCCGCACAGACGTCCCATCCAACAGCCGCATTAAATGCGGCCACATGCGGCTGCCAGCGCCAACCAGTTGAGGTGACCCCTCGGCCAATGAGCACTTGACACGTGTCCCTGCCCGACATTTATTGCTACTATAAATAGCACCCCATTTCCCCATTTGTAACCACGCTTAATACATATCGAATATACACTCTCTCTCTTACTTGTTTGCTCTGACTTCTCTCTAAGTTATTCCCCGTAATAACCCTTCGGATATATACCCCCGGGTAGACTATCCATCAGTAGCTTTTTTCCCTTTATTTCTATATGTAATGAAACTTTTAGCTTGTTTTTAGCTTGTTTATTCATATATTGATCATGCATATTAGTTATGGAACTTCATTTCCCATTATTTTGGTTTATTGTATCTTAGGTGAATAAGTTCCCATTTTTGTTTATTACTCTCATATCTTTAATTGTTAGTTGGTATTTATATCATATCAGGTGGCAATGACGTCAAAAAGATATTTACTCTTTCGTATTAACTACAAAGTAGTTAATTGGCCCAGACTACTAATGTCTGGCCCAAACCACTTTTGTCTGACTGTAAGATGGAAAGTAATACATACACCCAAACTACAAATGTCTGAGACAGACAAATTTTGTCTGACTGTACTACACAAAGTAGTTACTTGGCCCAAACTACTAATGTCTGGCCCAGATAACTTTTGTCTGGCTGTAAGACACAAAAGTAATACATACTCAGACTACAAATGTCGGGGACAAACAAAATTTGTTTGGCTAGACAGACGTTGCAGTTCTAAATTGAAGCGAAGAGTGTTGGGGAAATAGAGATAACCAGACAAACATTATTTTTACGCAGAAAGTCAATAACTTTACACAAACAGACAATACAGCAGATCCCAGACATACAAAAGATCAACATACATAAGTGGATAATTGTACATGCAATGTTTGCAAAAACTTACACATGTTCAAAAAAATCAATCCAATTCTTCAACATTGTACAATATTCGACACGTTCCCCACAACAATATCGTATTTTCCCAACTGTAATATGTAATGTTTGTATAAAAAAATACATATTCAAAAAAATCACAAGTTCAAAATCGACACATTCCCCAACACTCTATGCTTCAGCCTTCTTTAAGGGACATGTTGGCGTAGTCATAATGAGGAATCAATAACTTCCTCAGTAACAGATGCTCTGCAAATGATATGACCATGACGCCACATTCTTCGGATCTGTAGACAGACAAATAAAGCACATACAGACATTTAGAACACTTAACATAGACAATACATGTAATGCAAAAAAATATTGAGTTTAATACCATGCTTGCTATTGAGTCACACATAGAGTCATAAACTTTGATAATCTACTTGCAAAGACAACTTGAAGACAACTAATTACATCTCAAAAAATACACACCACAACTTACATACAACTCACAATCAAATGACAGACAATTATATATGAATTACAGACATCTATTTTTAAAAATGACAGACAACTTCACAACTCTTACAGATTCCTCACAACAAAATGATAGTCAAGTCATTACAGACAACTCAAAACAAATACAAACAACTAACAAACAAATGACAGACAATTAAAAAATATTAAATTGGATCTCAAAAATATTTCTTTTTCTTTTCCCCAGTTTTCTTTGAATCTCGGTGATTCTTATCAGAATTTTCAGCCCCTTTCTCTTCCTTGTTCTTCCATTTTCCTTTAGCTTTGTTTGCTCCCTTCTTAGCATCATATTTCTTGAAATTTTGAGCCAACAAATCATGTTCTTGTTTTTCCTCATTATCTCTTTCTATCAACTTCAGTTCATGAACTTGCAATGCACTTTTCAGACCATCTACTGTTAAGGCAGTAATATCATGTGCTTCCTTTATGGCAACAGATATATGATCAAATTTCTTAAGCAAAGTTCTCATCACTTTTTCATTTATTTTAGAGTTTTTATTCTCAACACCACAACCTTGCATCGCATTCACATGAGTTATAACTCTATTAAAATAATCTGCAATTGTTTCAGGTTCTTACATCTTTAACAACTCAAACTGGAAAAATTACTATACTCCATAAAAATACTCAGTAAACATTGAGGTACAAAAAAAATGGAAAAAAGTCTTGAATTTCAACAAAAATTTTATTGAGTAATTTCTACAAACATGTTATGGGCATAAAATGAACTAGAGAAACTACACTAAAAGTGTAAATAATTAAATCCTCAAAATCATTACAATGAAACAAACTAATCAATTATTCACTTTTATATCATACATAATATACATAAAATCGAAAAAAGGAAAAAATAAAAATAAAATATGCACATGAAGAAAAATCGGAAATGGAGTACGTACCTCATGATTTGAGAAAGGATGGCTACCTTAGACACAACTAAATGGAGATGTCTTGAAATCTTCAAAAATGGAGATGGGGAGCTCTTAGCTTGAAATTAAAAGAGGAGAGAAAATGGGGAATGGGGTGAGAGAATAGAAATGAGCAGATAGGATAAACAAACGAGGATGTGGAAAGATAGATGTTTGAAAGGGATAAAAAGAATGATAAAAAAGAGATATTTATATGGGGTAAGAAATAAGGTAAAGTTAGAGTACCTATACCAAAATTGTTTGACAAATCCTTCAAATGTTTCCACAGATCTACGTCCAAAAGGTTGAATCCCCAACCCCAAGGGCCCCCCACCTCGACCCGACAGGATGATGGAGGAGTAAATCACGGTGACTTAGTCGGCAAAGCGGCAGTAGAACTTTACCCGTGCGCACCAGAGGGCCAGCCTTATTTCAGATTCTGAAAAATCCCTTTTGACCGCTGCGGGATTCGAACCTTGATCTACGTACGATTTTTCCCACCACTCGATCAAGTGAGTTCTGACTATAGCACGTGTCGTGTGACTCGCGTGTAGGTGGAGCTGCCAAATCAGGAGTCTCTGACCATCATTCACACCCAGAAAAAGGCCCCCCTCGAAAGCCATTCAACTCGCTGCACCCAGCTCTGCTGAGTTCTTAGACATCACAATCCTCCGCCCCTACACTGCCTGCTCTGTCTCTTTCCCCTACCCGCAACAAGTTCAAATTGCGCACATTTCTCCTAACATCACCGGAGTCCCCGCTGCCCCTGCCATACACGTGTCGGAGGCTGTCATACTCGTCTCTGCGTCCGTCACGCAATTTCTCTCCAGGTTTGGCTTGTTCGCGCCTCATAGAATCCATGTATTCATTGTCATTATCATTGTCATGCTAATGTAGCAATTTGATTGTTTTGCGTCTGGCCGGTTACTTGACAGGAACGTAGAAGTACTTGATCAATGCCGATTGAAAATCCTAAACGGCCAAATTTTGATATGAGACCTACTTCCACACCCATGGCTGCCCCACCGAGTACACCCCCCTATGGTTTTAGACCCATGACACCAGGTATTGCGAGTGATGCAGCCAGGCCACCTCCAATGCCTACGTCAACTCCAGGCCCCTTCCAAATGCCACCTCCACAAAGTTCAGTTGGGGGATACCCAAGTTTTCCACCATCAGCTGCTGCCTCGTCTCCGGTTCCTCCCCAGCCCGCATACCCAACAGTTTCATCTTATCCACTTGCAAGACCAACCTTTCAGCCAGCTTTTTCAGGATATTCCAGCCAACAATCAGCTGCAATGACACAACCTCCACTTGGGCAAGCCAGCTTTCCTCCTCCACATGGAGGTTATGCTCCGGGAGGGGGGTATGCACCACCCTTACAAATGCAGCATCCAGGATCTGCACCTCCTATACCTAATGTGCAGGGGTTGTCAGAGGATTTCAAATCCCTTTCCATCGGGTCTGTTCCAGGATCATATGAGACAGGGCTTGATTCCAAAGCATTACCAAGGCCATTCGAAAGTGATATACAAAACCTTATGTCAGATTTTTTCCCCATGAACTGCAGTTCTCGGTATCTACGGTTCACAACCAGCGGCATACCGAATTCCCAGTCCTTAGCTTCAAGGTGGCACTTGACCCTTGGTGCAGTTGTTTGCCCTCTTGCCGAGGCTTCTGATGGGGTTTGTATTCAATTCATCCACATTTACAGATTGCTCATATTTGGAGTGCTTGGTCTCAGTATGGCTCACCTGCTATATGTAATTATTTACTGACCAGGATGAAGTTCCCATAATCAATTTTACTACTACTGGCATTATACGTTGCAGAAGGTGTCGGACTTATGTAAACCCTTTTGTCACATTTACGGACAGTGGAAGGAAATGGAAATGCAACATATGCCAATCGCTCAATGATGGTAATATTTTAACTATTATTGTCCTCAGATGTATCTTTACTCAGATACTAGTTGCGGTTTTATTTATTCTTTATAGATCATGGGTCATGTTGAACCTTTTCTGAAACTTCCCTTTCACTGTTGTTTTAAATGCCAAGGTAAATTCTGCTTCTGACAAGCAGAAGTCGATTTCAGCATATTACTTCTCTAGTCTTGCCTCCCATTGTCCTCTAAGGTTTTGTCTACAAAGTTATATTCAACCTGGAATAGTTTGGGGAATGATTGATGGAGATTCATAGACATACAAGAAATGCTGGGCAAGAGGACTAAACACAACATTGAAATATTGAGCACTAATATATAACATGACATAACTGAGTACTTCCTCCGCCCCAAAATGATTTGCAAGTCTATTTCTTGGTCAACATAGTATGGTTTTATTCACTTATTTAGGACATCAAGTTTCTATTATATTCTACTTTGCATTTTGTGACTTTATAGAACTTTCAAAGTACTTTCCTAATATGTAAATTTCAATTATTAAAATTGATATAACTATCTGTTGGGAGGATTCGGCTTTATCGTCTACTTTATTAAAATGTTTGTTTTAGGAAATGCATTTGCTCATCTACTCAAACTTTTGATATGCAGTTCATGGTGATTATTTTGCTCACTTAGATGCCACTGGTAGAAGAATTGATTTGGATCAGCGGCCTGAGCTTACGAACGGCTGTGTGGAGTTCATTGCTCCAGCTGAATACATGGTCCGGCCTCCAATGCCACCAACATTTTTTTTCCTTATCGATGTATCAATATCATCCATAAAAAGTGGAATGATTGAGGTTTGAATTTCTACCCTGAAACTTTTAGATTTCAACTTTTCTTTATGACTATTCTTTCCTGCAAACACATAGTCACGTGTCATCTGTGCTTTCCATAGTTCCATGTGCAATTTCTCTTCTCAATACCTCAGTTCCAACTAGTTGGGGTTACTGTGATATTATTGGGTCAATGTATTTGGTTAAAACTTAACACTATAAATTCATGCAAAAAAGCATTTTGGGGTGAAGTTCTCTGCGGGATAGACATTTCGCCACATTTTTTTTAAATCCCAGGAGGAGCCAACCAAAAGGTTGGGGTAGAGCTGGGGAACACTACCAATTTATTAAAAATAAATTTAGGGAGTACACACTACACAGTAGGAGGACTACAACCAAAGCCTACCAAAACTAGTAATTATTCGGGTAGCTGATTGCATCAAATTTGAGAATCCCAACAAAATGGTTTTGGTGAATATTTTTTTAATGGATATTATTGTAAGCTACATATTCAGCTGCTCTATTACAATGTTGATCAATTGTGCCAATTCTCCAGCGGTAGTGGCATAGTCAGTGCCTTATTTTGCTTTTTTTGGCCCAATATTTCCAGTTATGCGTGTTGGTTCCTTGTATAGCTTGTTGTACCTGCAGATTTAGCAGCATTTGAGGGCTTAAGAACAACCATTGAGAAGTTAGGGACCACTGGGTGTTTAAGAAAATCGGATATAGCAGCATAAAGGGCTTAAGAATGATCGTACGTATACAATATATTGGTGCAATGGGCACTGTAGGAAACCGTGGAGTCCCAGTGAGAATAGCTGTGCGACATAAATAATCCTCTATAGGTCTAGTGGCCATATTGATTTTAAGGTAGTTGTCAGGAGGCATAGTCCAAATGCTTTTCTTAAAAGAAATGGTTTTTTAATAATGGTGCAAACGTTTATGGGTGGGTTATCGTTATTATTGCAGGTAAGAGGATAAGCAACCGAAATATGAAAAAGTTCTTTGGTGATAGGCGCCTCGGTTGATCTAGAGACGAGTTTTAATGTTAGTGCATATAGTAGTAGGAGCATTTTTTTGATATTATGGGGAAAAAGTGTTGGTGTTAATTAGCTGTCCAGAAGCTTTCTCATAATTAGTGATGGTTTGTTTTAACATTTGAAGACTGTTTTTATTTGCATTGTTAAAAACAATGAGGTCATCAGCTTAAGAGAGGTACATAAAATTAGGCGTACCAGCATTAGTGTAGAAAGTAGTATTTACCTTATTATTTTGGGGGGCATTTCAATGTTTTGTTAGGACCTCAGTAACCATAATAAATAGAATAGGACACAGAGAATTTCCTTGTTTAACCCACCTAGTGGGTTTAAAGAAGCCCTTAGGTCTATCATTTCTAAGAACAGACTACAGAGAAATACAACAACAACATTACCCCAGTGCCGCATGACGGTTGTTTCATAACAAAGAAGCGCAGACAGTTAAGTGTGCCATTTTGCTTTATAAGAACAGAGAAATGAGTGACATTAAAATTATTCATGATAAAATATATGAAAAGATCATGGAAACCAAAATTTATAAGAGTGGGTTGAATGTAATGCCAGGAAATCATATCAAAAGCTTTCATCATATCAAATTTGAATAAGATGTTATGACTTCTGATTTTGTTGTCAATATGGTTTACCATCTTTCTAAGCATAAGGATATTATCAGAAATTTCTTTACCTTTTTGAAAAGCAGAGTGTTCTCTAGAGATTATAATAGGCTGAAACTCAGTAATTCTACTGGTGAGAATTTTTGTGAAAATTTTATTCAAAAAATTACTATTGGTCTGGATTTAGAAAATTGAATAGCATTTTTCTCCTTAGGGATCAGGACCATCAGAGTCTGCCCCACAGATTTAGGGATAGGAACGCAGCGCATAAACTCACAGACACCATTAAAAAGATCTTTCTGAATAATATTAAAACTGCATTTTTAATATCCTCCATAGTGACAGGTTGGACCAGTTTTCTGTTATTGTAAGTTTGAAGAATTAATCTTCCTTGTATATTATTGAGCCATCCGGCAATGATATATATACAAGTTACAGATAAAGTTAAGTTGTTACAGATCCTAAAAAATAGGATCTATCTATTCTATCTAATCTGCGAGCTAATCTAAGAATTAGAGACCTATATCAACTCTAATTCCTATCTATACAGTCCCGGATGTACAAATAATAAAAATAACATGTATATGCTACATTTTTCTACACTCCCCCTCAAGTTGGTAAGTATATATCATACATTCCCAACTTCCTTATAAGAAATTCAAACACTGGTTTAAACAGCCCCTTTGTAAAGATATCAGCTGTTTGTTCTTTGGTAGATATGAATGGTGTGCACACAATTCCAGCTTCAATCTTCTCTTTGATAAAATGCCTGTCCACTTCAATGTGTTTAGTACGATCATGTAGCACAGGATTGTGAGCAATATTAATGGCTGCTTTATTGTCACAATATAACTTCATAGGTAGTTCCATTTCCATATTCAACTCTGACATCATTCTCTTGATCCAAAGTAGTTCACAGATTCCATTAGCCATAGATCTAAATTCAGATTCTGCACTACTTCTAGCAACTACATTCTGCTTCTTACTCCTCCAAGTCACCAGATTCCCCCATACATAAGTACAATACCCAGATGTAGACCTTCTATCAGTTATTGAACCAACATAATCTGCATCTGTAAAGGCTTCTACACTTCTATTGTCACTTCTTTTAAAAAATAATCCTTTCCCTGGACAGCTTTTCAAATATCTTAGGATTCTGTAGGTAGCATCTAGATGTTCCTGGAATGGATTATGCATGAATTGACTAACCATACTGACTGCAAAGGCAATATCTGGCCTTGTATGTGCCAGATAAATCAACCTTCCCACCAATCTTTGATATTGGTGAATATTAACTGGTACTCCTTCCTTGACATTTCCTAACTTTTGATTAGGGTCAATTGGAGTATCTATTGGTCTGCAGGCACTCATACCTGTTTCATGGAGTAGGTCTAGTACATACTTCCTCTGGGATACCACAATTCCCTTCTTTGATCTGGCTATCTCCATGCCAAGAAAGTACTTCAATTCTCCCAGGTCTTTGATCTCAAATTCCTGAGCAAGCTTCTTCTTCAGGTCTTCAATCTCTTTACAATAGTTTCCTGTAAGAATTATATCATCCACATAAACAATTAGTACTGCAATCTCTCCCTTAATGGAGAATTTCATGAATAGTGTATGGTCTGCTTGGGCTTGCTTGAATCCCTGCTTCTTTATGAATTGAGTAAACCTTTCAAACCAAGCCCTTGGGGACTGTTTAAGTCCATATAAGGCTTTCTCCAGCTTGCACACCTTTGAGCCATATTGTTCCTCAAACCCAGGAGGGGGGCTCATGTATACTTCCTCTTCAAGCTTCCCATTTAAGAAAGCATTCTTCACATCTAACTGTTGAAGAGGCCAGTCTAGGTTAGCAGCTAGAGATAGAAGGATCCTTATAGTATTTAATTTTGCAACTGGAGCAAAAGTTTCTGTATAATCTATGCCATAGGTTTGTGTGTATCCTTTGGCAACCAATCTGGCCTTATATCTTTCAAGTGTACCATCTGCCTTGAATTTAGGGGTAAATACCCATTTGCATCCCACTGTTGGTTTGTTTTTGGGTACTTCTACAGCCTGCCATGTCTGATTCTTTTCAAGAGCATTCATTTCTTCTAAAACAGCCTTCTTCCACTCAGGTATAGATAGAGCTTCCTGTATGGTTAAGGGAATAGAAACAGTGGAAAGACTAGAGGTAAAGGCTGCAAATGATGTAGATAACTGAGAATAGGACAGATAGTTTGAGATAGGGTATTTAACACATGATCTTTTTTCTTTTCTGAGAGCAATGGGTAGATTTAGATCACTGAAATTATTACCTTTGTCATTTTCTGACATTGAGTCAGATTCATGGGCAGTGGCGGGATCAGGGATGTCCTCTATTCTTTGATTTGGAACTCTCCTTTCATAAACCTTGCCAAAAAACTTACTTGTCTGCTGTTCATCATCTTTCCTTGTTTCAGAAAAATTTATTTCATTTTCTTTTGACTCTTGACTATTTTCTTCTGCATCTAACTGTCTATTATATTGTGCATCTAGATTAATGTCAAGAGATTCAAGTTTTTCATGGATATGTGACACATTATCACCATCTTCATTAGGAATCTCCCCCCTGAAGATGAGTACCAAAAAAAAGTTGATTTTCAACAAAAACAGTGTTCATTGTTATAAACATCTTTTTTGTTATAGGGTCAAAACATTTATAGCCTTTCTGAGTTGAAGATAGTCCTAAGAAAACACTTTTTTTGCCTCTAGGATCAAATTTGCTTGCAGTTCTGTCAGGGTTGGTAATAAAAACTGTGCAGCCAAAAATTTCTATGGGAAGAGAATTAATGAGCCTAGTTTCAGGAAAACTGGCTTGAAGAGTATCAATAGGAGTTTTAAATCCTAGAGTTTTTGATGGCATCCTATTAATTAAATAGGTAGCATGTAAAACAGCTTCTCCCCATAAATATTTTGGAATTTTAGCAGAAAACATAATTGCACGAGTGACTTCAAACAAATGTCTATTTTTCCTCTCAGCTATTCCATTCTGAGCAGGTGTATTTACACAGGAACTTTGATGAATAATTCCTTTTTCAGCAAAAAAATTATTTAACTTCTTAGAAAAGTACTCAAGACCATTATCACTTCTCACAATTTTGATATTAGTGTTGAATTGAGTTTGGATCATTGAGTAAAATTTTTTGAACACTTCTTCAACCTCAGATTTTTCTTTAAGTAAAAAAACCCATGTGACCCGTGTGTGATCATCTATGATAGTTACAAACCACCTTTTTCCTTTCAGAGTTGGAACTCTAGATGCACCCCAAATATCACTGTGTACAATAGTAAAAGGACTAGTTGGCTTGTAACTATGAGGGATATAAGAACTCCTATGATGTTTGGCAAGTGCACACATATCACAATGAAATGATGAAGGATTTTTATTATGAAATAACTCAGGAAACAACATTTTCATATAAGAAAAACTTGGGTGACCTAATCTATAGTGCATTAAATACACTTCATTATTACAAGGAAAGAAAATAGTTTGCAAACAAGTTTTTTCTTGACCTTGTTTATTCAATTGTGTTCCTTCATCAAAAGTATAGAGGCCATCCTCCTCTCTAGCACTGCCAATCATCCTCCCTGATGCCAGATCCTGAAAAATGCAATAAGAGGGATAAAACTTTACACAACACTGAAGGTCTTTAGTTATTTTGCTAATAGAGATAAGATTGCAGGAAAGTTTTGGAACATGTAAGACTTTGGAAAGGTTAATGGATGAGGAAATTTTAATATTTCCCATCCCTGCTATGGCTGAAAAAGAGCCATCTGCAACTCTAACTTTCTTATCTCCTGCACAAGGTTGATAAGAAGAAAAAAACTTTGGAATGTAGGTCATGTGGTCTGTTGCACCTGAGTCAATGACCCAGGTGTTTTTTGGTTTTTCAGAACAAAAAAATGATGTTATTTTACCATTTTGGGCAAAAGAACAGGTAGGGTTTTCTTGGTTGGAGATTTTCTGGGTGGGTATGAATTTGAGTAGGTACTCTATCCGTTCCTGAGTGAATGGTAGCTGTTTAGATTCAACTCCTGACTCTTGTTGAGTCTCAGTCACAGTAGTTTGTAGGGCCCTCTCTACTTTCTTCTTTCCAGCTCCTGGTGGTTTTCCATGAAGTTTCCAGCATGTATCCCTTGTGTGCCATAATTTCTTGCAGTGATCACACCAAGGTTTTTTCTTGTTGTCATCACTTCTGGCCACCAAAGCTGAAGATTCCCCAGGTTCCTCATTAGGTACTGGAGTGTTGTACATGACCCTCCTCCTGCTATCTTCCAACCTGATCTCAGAAAAGACCTCTCTGATTGAGGCCAGGGGTTTCTTCCCCAGTATTCTGCCTTTTACTTCATCTAGGTCTCTATTCATTCCTGCTAGGAACATATAGACCCTGTCATTTTCCTCTCTCTTCTTGTGTCTTGCCAGATCCTTGGCACTTTCCCAGTATTCAGCATCATAGCATTGGTCCAACTCTTGCCATAGAGATACCATCTCATTATAGTATGAGATGACATCTCTACTTCCTTGTTTGGACTGCCACAACCTTGTTTTTAATTCATAGATCTGAGAAGAATTCTCAAGATCTGAGTAGGTTTCTTTAATTGAATCCCATACCTCTTTTGCAGTTTTCATGAACATGTGAGGTTTGGCGATTGATGCATCCATTGAACTGAGAAGCCAGGCTGTTACCAAAGAGTTCTCTGACCTCCAGACATTGTAGCCATCTTCACCATTCTTCTTCTCCTCTACTTCACCCGTTATGTATCCCAACTTTCCTCTTCCATCTATTGCCAGTTTGACAGACTGTGACCACTCTAGGTAATTGGTTCCATTCAATCTATGTCCAGTAATGAGCATAGATGAATTAACCGAGGCTTGGTAATTTGTCATTTGGCTAATTTGGGAGTTAGGGTGATGGGTTTGTGAGTGGGTGGAGGAATCAGAGTGTTCAGTGTCCACCATTATGGTGTTTTAAACAACAAGTCTCTGATACCATGTAAGTTTGAAGAATTAATCTTCCTTGTATATTATTGAGCCATCCGGCAATGATATATATACAAGTTACAGATAAAGTTAAGTTGTTACAGATCCTAAAAAATAGGATCTATCTATTCTATCTAATCTGCGAGCTAATCTAAGAATTAGAGACCTATGTCAACTCTAATTCCTATCTATACAGTCCCGGATGTACAAATAATAAAAATAACATGTATATGCTACATTTTTCTACAGTTATCATCCTCAGTAATAACAGGATTAATGAAACTAAGGAAGGTATCAGGATAAAAAATAATATCATTATTATTAGCAATGAGTAACTAGAAAAATACTTTGTAGCTTCCTCGCAAATAAGGGTATTTTCTTCAATCCAAATACCATCCTCTCTTTTAATCCTCTTAATTTGAAGCTTTTGATGCTTGATTTTTAAAGAGAGATGGACAAATTTAGTTTTTGTATCTCCATCTTTTAGCAATCTAATTCTAGCCATTTGTTTATAATAAGCTTCAAGGTATGAATTGTACAAAATGTAATCAGCTTGGGCCTTTGAAACAAGATGTTGTAATCCTCAGAAAGATCTCGTCACAATCTTCTTACAACGTTACAATGAGATGAAACATGACCCATTAACAATAAACAAAAATCATGTCTTGATACCAAATCAATGGGGGGTAATCTACAAGTTCAGATAATTGTTACAATCATATCATATTCCATTACATGCATAATATTGTAAAATCAGAATTGCAAATCATGGACGTGGAACATGACCGGAACTGGGTCCAATTGCTTAACAAGTAAAAAGGCTTTATAATTTTTGAAGTAGAATGTTAGAAAATAGGGAGAAGCCTGCTTTTTCATGGAAATTCAAAAGTTGTGGCTTTATAGAAAGTTTTTTGTTTTTGGTCAAGAAGCTCAAGTTTGACAAACAAGCTCAATATTATTAAAGTCCATTGTGAATATTTTTCATAGATGCTTTGAGGCCAAGATTTGTGTTTAATTTGCCACATGCAGTCTAGTCCCATAAATTACGATAAAGATTATGTGGTCTAACTACCAGTGAAAGCAGCACATTTATTTTTGTGCCTTTATCAAATGAAATAAAACTTCCACATTGGTTATAAATTTCTCCGAGGCATGATCTTTTGTAGGTGTGGGCTGCCTTCCAGTCCTGTATTAGGCATTCTTGTATTCAGTGTTGGAATAAGTGGTTCAGATCTTTAATAACATATCATTTGCAGATTTCTTATATAATTAAATATTGATTTCATTATAATAAGCTATGTATTACAGGTAATATCACAAACCATCAAAAAGTGTTTGGATAACTTGCCTGGATACCCGAGAACCCAGATTGGATTTATTACTTATGATAGTACAATTCATTTTTACAATATGAAGGTACATAATTTGTGTATCAAATTGATATTTGACATGCTTTGAATATCCTAGATGCTTCATTCACCTATTAATTATTCACATTTTCTCCAGTCATCATTGATACAACCTCAAATGCTGGTTGTGTCAGATCCTGAAGATACTTTTGTCCCTTTGCCAGATGACTTGCTCGTCAACTTGTCAGAATCCAGGAATGTCATAGATGGATTCCTAGATAACTTGCCTTCTATGTTTCAAGATAATGTAAATGTGGAATCAGCATTTGGTCCTGCTCTAAAGGCTGTATACATGGTTATGGTGGGTAGTCTTCTGTCTGTTAGACATGTACTTCATCATTTGGGCCTGGCGTTAATGCGTTATGATATACTCCTCTCGTTCAGAAAAGAGAGCCATGTTTTGAGCATTATCTTTGCCTAGAGAAAGAGTATTGTTTGATCAAACCATGTAAATTGCCAAAAAAAGAGTCAGACATGTGACATGTCACACATGATACATTTAGATGAACCAACAAATAAATTTTAAAAATATGTATGATTTGATACTATGAAAGTACCATGATTTAAATGTTGTACATTGGTCAATCAAGGTTTTTTTGGGACACAGGTAGTTTTATTTAGACTAAACATTCTACTTTTCCTTTATTGGGGCAGTTGGCATTATTTTAATATCCTACATCAATTTCTTACTTGCTCCTACATCGATTTCTTACATTCTCCCTTTGGAATAAATCAATAGTTAAGTAATGTTAATTTGGTTTACGTACTGCCAGAATCGGCTTGGTGGCAAGCTGCTGATCTTCCAGAGCACACTTCCTTCACTAGGTGTTGGTCGCTTGAGACTGAGAGGCGATGATCCCCGTATATATGGATCTGACAAAGAACATGCAACAAGAATACCTGAGGATCCTTTCTATAAACAGATGGCTGCTGATTTCACAAAGTATCAGATAGCTGTCAATGTATATGCGTTTAGTGACAAGTATACAGATGTAGCAAGCTTAGGTAATATCTATTTCTTTCCAATTAAGGGATTGGAGTAGGAAAATATATGTTTTGACCCAATAAATCTTTAGTTAGCTAGATGATTTGCCTTCCCTTATACATATACATTTATTCTACTTAAATAGTTTTACATTCTTTTTCCTGGTATGGTTTCAACAGGTATATCAGTATATGTATTACTAGTTTACTACATAGTACGTACTAATTTAGTATCACATTGTTTCATCGTTCTGAATGTTCTTTTGGAAAACATTATTCACTCTTTTGTTCTAGAGTTAATAGCAACACATTTGGATTAGTATTACCCTAGATTGACTATTTCATGTGTTCAAGGATAGGAAAGGGTCTGCATGAAACTATGTTTGATCTCCTTCCACCCTAAAAATCTGTGTGATGCATGAACCCATCGTTTGTATTGTTGTTGCACATACAGTCTTTCTTGTCTTACCTATCCTTTTATAGCATTTTCAACTTGCCCATAATTGAGAATTTCCCATGTTCAATGTTGACCTTATCATGTATTTATTTGGAATGCGCTCTTCATAAGGTACAATTCCATCTTTATATAGGGACCCTGTCAAAGTACACTGGTGGTCAGGTGTATCATTATCCAAGTTTCCAAGCTGCTATTCATAAAGATAAATTGAGTCAGGAGTTGACAAGAGATTTAACAAGAGAGACTGCCTGGGAGGCTGTCATGCGGATAAGATGTGGAAAGGGTAAGTTATTTTTCTTATGTTAGTCCAACCAATTAAATTGCAAGGTCATGCGGTAAGCCAAAGGATAATTTTATACTTATCACGTTAAAAGTTAAAACTGATATTTTTTATTGTTTTGCTTCAAGGTATTCGTTTCACAACTTATCACGGGAATTTTATGCTAAGATCCACAGATCTTATAGCACTTCCAGCTGTTGACTGTGATAAAGCTTATGCAATGCAGTTATCACTGGAAGAAACATTGCTAACAACTCAGACTGTATACTTCCAAGTTGCACTGTTGTATCCTTCCAGTTATAGCAACCTCTGTCTCTTTATTATTTGTTATTTTGGCTCTATGCTTTAACTGATAGTCTGAAACCTCTAACATGTTGAAAACAATTACTTGACCAGCTGGCCTACTGTCTCAAGACTCAAGGCAATTAGGCATTTTAGTAGGATAATTAAGGGTGCAATACCATCTTTTTTCGTTCATCCAGATTGTTTACGGGTGTAAGTTTTGTTGAGACTTGAGAGAGCAGTTTATTCAATTTCATGTGCGGACTACAATTCCCTGCTTATATTGAGTCATGCTAAGAAAGTTAAAATCTATTGTGGTAGCTGGGTGCGACTGCGGAATAGGGGGTTGATTTTGTGTTACATGTCTGCTACACTGTATGCATGCTGCAGAGATACAACAGATGTAATTATATTCTACACAATTGATGCAAAATTGGCATGTGGGATGCAATTTCTACCTGATGATTTTGAATGTATAGGGTGTCTATCATTTCTCTCCTCTTTCAGAATAAGAAGTTTAGGGTTCCTTAACCGTATGAAGACACACATCATCTTCTGGAGAAAGACGCATTAGAGTGCTTACAGCAGCTGCACCTGTGGTTTCAGAATTAGGAGAAATGTACCGTCTTGCTGATACTGGTGCCATTGTATCATTGTTATCCAGGCTAGGTATACAGGTCTCTTCTTTTTGTTGCATTTGGTTCCACTTTGACTACAATATGTGTGTACACTAGAGTGGATCTCATTCTCTCAATTATGATTCTTATGTGCAGCAATTGAAAAATCTCTCTCCACTAAATTGGAAGAGGCTCGAAGTTTTATTCAACTGAGAATTGTTAAAGCCCTCAGAGAATATAGAAATTTGTATGCTGTACAACATCGTCTGGGGGGGAGGATGATATATCCAGAATCACTGAAACTATTGCCTTTGTATGGACTAGCTTTGTCCAAGTCCGCATCCCTACGTGGTGGTTATTCTGATGTGCAGCTTGATGAACGATGTGCCACTGGATATACTATGATGGCATTGCCAGTTATGAAACTGTTGAAACTTTTGTACCCAAACCTGATTCGTGTTGATGAGTTTCTTCTAAGAGTACGTACTTTTCTTTTTCCTAGTGATCTTGTTCGCACGTGTTGATAAAACTAAAGAACCTCTTCTTGATATACTCTATCGATGCGAGAAAGGTTGTTTCCCCTTTTTCTTATGGCCTTTTCCTTCTTCAACTATTTTCCAATTTACAGACATCTCCTTTGACTGGGGAGTCTAAGAACATGCTGAAGAGGCTTCCACTTACCATAGACAGCTTAGATGTCGGAGGTCTCTACATCTATGACGATGGTTTTCGGTTTGTTATATGGTTTGGTCGAAATCTATCTTCTGATATCATGAAGTGTATACTGGGGGATGAATTTGCTGCAGACTTCTCAAAGGTATTAGTTAATAATATTTAGTATGGATTTGGTAGTTATGCTTAAGGATCTCAGTTCTACCAAGGCATGTTTTCTATTTTCTTCTCTTTAGTGTCTGATCAATCGAAAAATTATTTGCATACACGATTACACATCTTCAATAAGAATCCAATTTTGAAGCACTCAATTTCCAGTCTTCACAATCATTATGGCATTATAAAATGGTTTCAAATGGCACTTCATTTTTAACACACTTACCTTATATAAAATGGTTTCAACATTCAAATGATTGTTTATAGCCGAGCTTTAATAATGAATGATAATTAGCTTGAAGTTTAAAATCTCTTCTGGAATCTCTCATTTATGTGTGTCATGGTGTGACACTCAGTTTGTGTTTGTTTTCCGGAATGGGAAATGTGAAGAAACGAAAGTTTAGTTACATTTTCCCTCCATTAGAAGGATGTATTTCTTTCTTACTATTAGCTTGAAAAGAACCAGGAGGAATGGAAAATGTTTGGGGGATTTCTCTGATTATCTTCAATGCTACTCCCTACAGAGGAAGGTAGTACAGTACTCATCATTTTCATCATTTTCATTTACTCCAGTGCCGCAAAGGCTCCCACCTACGGTGGGGTAGGGGGGGGGATCGGATGTACGCAGTCTTAGAGGTTGTTAGTAACTAATAACTACCTTCTGTTTTAGAAGGTTATAAATAGAATAATGCTGCTGTGGGAATGCAGGCTGTTTTTAGACATTTTGTCTGAGACTGGGAAGTTGGAGTTCTATCTCCTTGTTTGGGACAATTGTGTACGGTTTACCTCCTTTGAATGAGATTCAGTTTTCTTTTTCTTTGTTCTTAATCTTCTGTGATTAATTCTGGAATTGCGAAGGTTCTATCATCGGTATCAGAGCGCGTCGGTCGCTGGATGAGATACACGTGCGCAAAAATGGAAGGAAGAATCAATGAAGTAGAGAAGAATTTGTCAGACGTTGGAAGGAATCGACGTGAAATACAAGCAAATATGGAGAGAAATCAGCGAGAGATGCATGCGATGATGACTGCTATGCAAGCTAGCATCACTGATATGCAGACAAGACTTCCAGGTCGATCGCGAAGCCAATCACATCATTCTAATACTTTGCACCGCTCTTCTCACCACAGACATGCGAGGCGTAATGAAAGTTCTGAAGGATCGGAGACTCATGCCGATCATGATGCATCGCAGGAGGATCGTGATTGTCGCAGAAATCATCGGAATCTACCTACGGCTGGAAGGAAGATCGATTTACCAATTTTTAGTGGAAAGGATGCTGGCGGATGGTTATTGAGGATGAATCGATACTTCCGTTTGAATAGAACAGAAGAAGAAGAGAAAATTGATGTTGCAGTTATAGCCATGGAAGACCAGGCCATAAGTTGGTTCCTGTGGTGGGAAGGACAAGCGCAGCATCAGACATGGGAATCCTTTACTAAGGCATTGACCAAACGTTTCCAACCTGATCTGGTTCAGGATCCGTTGGGAACTTGGGACCTTTGTTCGGTTTGAAGCAGACAGGCTCTATAACGGAGTATAGAGATAAATTTGAAACCACAATTGCTTCACAGGGACATTTGACTGAAGAGGTGTTGAAAGGAGTTTTTCTTAAAGGATTGAAACGTGATATTAGGGCTGAATTGAAGTTGTATCCTACAAGAACTCTAGCTGAAGTTATGGATAAAGCTTCCCTGATTGAAAACAAGAATAATGAAGCATTGTTTATGAAGAATAAAGAGGAAGGAAAGAAAAAGGGGTTGAAGAAGAATAACTATCAGAATACAGGTCAGAATTGGGGAGAAGGTAGCAGGTGGAAGAGTCATTCTGGAACTCCTGGTAACGATGTTACTGTGAACAAGACGGGATCTGACAACAAGAGCAATCATGAGCTGAAAGATCTGAATATGAAACGGAATGGCCCTAGGCTATCTCAGGAAGAGTTACTGGAGAGGAGTAAGAAGGGGTTATGCTTTAAATGTGGAGAAAATTGGGGAAGGGGACATGTTTGCAAAATGAAAAATTTTAAGATGATTTTAGTGGAGAATCCAGAAGGGGAGGAATTATCTGATGAAGAAAATGGGGAATCTGGAGAAGATATGTCCCAACAATCAAGTCAGGTGGACCTTAAAACCATGCAGCTATCAATCATGAGTAAGGAGGGAATACCATCAATGACCACATTTAAGGTGAAAGGAAGAATGAAATGGCCAACAGGAGGACTGGGGGTGACTCCTAATTGACAATGGCGCTACCCACAATTTCATGTCAAGGGCTTTGGTAGAAAAGTGGAACATACCTTATGATAGGATCTTCACAATTCCAGTACAATTAACAGAAATTAACCAGGCAGAAAAGAAGAAAACTGTGATTTCATTCAATGGAGGTAAACCGTACAAGAATTGTCCCAAAGAAGGAGATAGAACTCCAACTTCCCAGTCCCAGACAAAAGATCTAACCAGAGCCTGCCTTCCCTCTGCAGATTTATTCTATTTATATCCTTCACATAACGAAGGTAGTTATTAGTTACTAACAACTTTTAACTAATAACTAGCTAGTCAACTTTGACTTTCTAGAATAGACTTGCCCATATAACCTATTCCTATTAGTTAGGCTAGCCGGGTCCTTATCAATACCCCCTCCTTGAACTACCAACTTGTCCTCAAGTTGGAATCCAGGAAATTGCTCTTGTATTACTTGAATATCCTCCCATGAGTCTTCAAATTCACGAAGTTCCTTCCAATGTATAAGGACCTCCTTCTTCCCTTCCTGATTTAGCCTGATATCTCTCACACCTTCAGGTCTCACTTGCAGCTCACAATCTTCTGTGAGGCAATTTGGGAGGTTTTGGTAAGTCACTGTAGGTTTCAGTGCCTTCTTCAGCAAGGATATATGAAATACAGGGTGGATTCTACTCCCTTCTGGTAACTTGAGTTTGAAAGCTACAGAACTGAGCTTCTCTGCAATGTCATAGGGACCATAGAATCTTGGGCTTAGCTTTTGATTGATCTTCTCAGCTAAACTTTTCATCTTATAGGGCTGTATTCTGAGAAAAACTTTATCTCCTACTTCCAGTATTTCTTCCCTCCTATGTTTGTCAGCCTGTTGCTTCATCAAATTCTGAGCTCTGGCCAAATTGTCTTTCAATTCCTTCAACATTATATTTCTTTCAGCTGCCAATTTGGCCACTTCATCTATTGCAGACAAAGTAACATCTCCTCGAATGATAGAAGGGGAATGTTGTCCAAACAAGGCCTGGTAGGGAGTACCCTTCAAGGAACTGTGGTAATTAGTGTTGAACCAGTATTCAGCCCAAGGAAGCCACTTCACCCACTGTCTAGGTTGCCTGCCACTCAAACACCTTAAGTAAGTCTCTAGACACCTGTTCACCACTTCAGTTTGCCCATCACTTTGAGGGTGATAAGCTGTGCTGTATTTAAGTTTTGTCCCTACCAATTTGAATAGCTCAGACCAAAATGAACTCAGAAAAATGCTATCTCTGTCACTTACAATGGATTTGGGAAATCCATGTCACAAAAACTTCAGCTACTTCCTTGGCATTAAAAGGATGAGCCAAAGGGTATAAAATGTGAAAACTTGGTCAGTCTGTCCACCACTACTAAGATAGTGTCTTTGCCCTGGGATTTTGGAAGACCTCCAATAAAATCCATACTAATATCAGACCACACATGATCTGGAATGGGTAAAGGTTGAAGCAATCCCGCAGGTTTCAATGCCTGGTACTTGTTTCTTTGACATGTTTCACACCCTTGAATGTAGTCCTTGATGTCTGATCTCATACCTTCCCAAAAAAACAGATTTGAGATCCTCTTCATGGTTTTGAAATATCCTGAATGGCCCCCTACTGCAGAATCATGGTATTCTTTCATAATAGTCTGAATTCTGGGGGATCCTTTTGGTAACACCAGCCTCCCTTTATAGTATAGAAGCCCTCCCTTCATTTTGTAATCCATACACAAATCAGACTGTATCACCATCTTCAGAATCATTTCCCCCCATTTAGGATCCTTCTCAAGTTCTTCTCCCAAACCATCCCATTCCTGGCAAGTCACTGTGGAAAGGGCTACATAGGTAGCTTTTCTGGATAGGGTATCTGCAACTTTGTTCTCAATCCCTGGTTTATATTTGATAATAAAATTGTACCCCATAAGTTTAGCTATCCACTTTTGTTGGTCTTCCCCCATTACCTTCTGTTCAGTCAAATGCTTCAAACTTTTTTGGTCAGTATGAACCTCAAAGTTTCTTCCAAGAAGGTAAGGTCTCCACTTCTGAATGGCAAACACAATTGCCATGAGTTCCTTCTCATAGATAGATTTAGTCAAATGTCTAGGTGATAATTCTTTACTCATGTAGGCAATAGGACCCCCCTCCTGCATAAGCACAGCACCCAGACCTCTTCCAGAAGCATCTGTCTCTATCACAAACAGTTTTGTAAAATCAGGTACCCTCAAAACAGGTAATGAAGTCATGGCCTCCTTCAGATCATTGAAAGCTTTAGTAGCCAATTCTCCCCATTTAAACCCATCCTTTTTGAGTAAAAGAGTAAGAGGTGCAGCAATCTTACTATACCCTTTTACAAACCTCCTGTAGTACCCAGTTAACCCCAGGAATCCCCTCAGTTCTTTCAAGTCTCTGGGTATAGGCCAGTTCTTCATAGCTACAATTTTCTCAGGATCAACTGCCACTCCTTCTGCAGAAATTATATGACCCAGATAACTCAGTTGATCCTGTCCAAATGAACACTTCTTGAGATTTGCTACCAATTGATTATCTTGTAAAGCTCCCAGTACTTTTCTTAACTGCTCTTTATGATCATCTCTAGTTTTACTCTCCTCTGGGAAGGGGTTTTTATAGATAGAGAGGTTAGTCGAGGGTAGCCTCCCGTTTGACCGATTTTCTCGGAGTCGGAGGTTTTCGGAGGAAGATCTCTCATCTGATGACCCTGAACAAGAAGGAGCTGCGAAAGAT